CCAGTAACCATGATGATCGATTGCCTGAAATAATGATTTCAGAGGAAAAGATCCAAAATGTTGTAAGTAGCAGCAAAGCTTGTGATGAATTGAGAACATCAAGTGGTTCATCACAGCAGCAGGTAATTCATCAGGATTCTTGCATTCATGGAGCTAAAGATCATCGGAAGTGCATTCGGGGAAATTTGTTCAAAGATGAACCTTCTGAAGGAGCCAAAAAGAATATTGTGGGAAGTGATGAACCTGATTTCTCTAGTGACAGTGATGGATATCACAATGAAATGACTGGCCTTTCCGCAAAGAGAAATGATTTTCTTAGCTCTCAGGGTCAAGATCCCTTGACAACTGAAAATGGTAGAGTGCTCAATCTTTGTGTGAAATGTAATGAAGGTGGGCAACTGTTGATTTGCAGTTCGAACACCTGCCCGTTAGTGGTTCATCAGAGCTGCTTGGGTTCTGTTCCCAGCTTCGATAATGGAGGAAACTTTTACTGTCCCTTTTGTGCATATTCTCGAGCGATTTCTGAGTACCTAGAAGGTAAAAAGATGTCTTTGCTTGCAAGGAAAGATTTGGCTTCATTCGTTGGCGTTGGGGCTAGGCGACAATCAAAGAAATCCTCACGTAACTCACGTAGATCAAAGAAGAACCAGTCTAGAGAGGATGAAGAACTGTGCCATGATAAAAATAATAAGGATGTTTTGAATGATGTCATAGAAGCCAGGAGTGCTCCAGTCTGTACAAATTCTTTGAATGGTAAAATTACGGAGATGCCTTCACCTCAACCAGAGGCTTCTGTGACTCATGAACCCGTGGCGGCTGGACCAAGATCCAAGATATCACCACCTAGATCGCATAGATCAAAGCAGAAACTATCCAGGGAGGAAGAAGAATTGTGTCACAACGAGGACAGCAAGAAGAAATCCTTGAACCAGGTCCAAGAACCAGGAAATGCTCCAGTCAGTATAAGTTCTCCTAATGCTGAATTTACACAGATAGGTTCACCTCAACCAGAGGCGTCTGCACCTCCTGAACTTGTGAGCGGACAGAGTGGTTTTGAAGAAGAAAGTTCTGAAGATGAAGACACAATTGCTTCCCGATATTGTGTGCGATTTAGGAATTCAGACAAGAACTAGTAAGTCTTTTACTTGAAAGTGCTCAATTTTGCAAATTCATGTGTTTAGCATGTGTATTCTTCCAAATGAGTCATCATTTTTCTTCCGCTTCAGGAATCCATTTACGCTTCATCGGAACAGTGTCATGGTTGTTATCACCGTTACCATATCTGATGTTTCATTTGTTATGACTGTTCTTGTTATCCACTTTTCACCTTTCATCATGGAGAAACATCATCGTTGCTGGAGCATTGTAATAATTTTGTATGCAGTTTCTTCAAATTTGCAGTACCTATCCTGCAATTTCTCAAGTGAGGCTGAAGCACCCCCTTCAAAAAAAAGTAGAGGAAGAAACATTAAAGGTACTTGGATCCTCGTTCTCTCTAAAGGTTCTCTTTTTTTGTTTTTCCTTTCTAAAGGGTTTCTGTCTTTTTTTTCTGTTTTCCACTTCTCCTATGCTAGTTCTGTCCTTCGGACTGTCATTACAAAGCACACGATTTCTCTAGTAAAAGAGAGGTGATGTTAAACTATGTTTCATATATAAAATTTCAAGGTTAATGTTTATTTTTGTTTTACGTGAGAGTTACAGTTGGGTGCAGCTTTATTTTTCTTCTATCAGGAAAATGTTTATTATTACTGATTAATAGGCCTTCCTGTCCCATGATACATGTATGCCATTGTACCTAATAACAGAAAGATGAAAGTGTTTAGCACTTTGCCATGCCCTGTGGTTTCTCAGTAGTGTTTTCTGCTGCTACTGCAGGTGTGTAGATATCTCAAGTTTTGGATAGATGGAAGAAGATTTTGGAGTTCAGAAGTTTGATGTTTTCCAGAGGTTGGATCGACTTCACCCTAGTTGGTTAGGGGCTCGGTCTTAGATGGTTCCCTTTTATGATATTATCGGCTAGTGCTGGTCCTCCTCCAAGCTTGGGGTCTTGATCTTATGGGTGCTCAAACCGGGCCATTTGTCATTTCTCCTGACATGTTAGTATCCGAGGCTAACTAAGAATGGCACATTGTTCTGTTAAGTTTTTGTCCTTGGGTGGGTATAGAAGGGCTTAGATAGTGTTCTTGTGCCCCTTACCAGGTTTTGTGGTATGCTATCCAACAATGGCATGTTTTGTTCTTGTAATTTTTGGATTCATGTGGGTATATGAAGGTTTAAATAGTTAAGCATGCTTATTTTAAGGTATAGTGGATTGTGAGCCAATGAGGCTAGCCAAGTGGATATTGTTGTAATTTTTCGCCCTAGTTGGAAATAGAAAGGCGTAAGATGGTTTACCTACAAAATAATACTCTCTACGTCCCATTTTATGTGAGATAGTTTGATTCGGCACGGAATTTAAGAAAGAAAGGAAATTTTTTAAAACCTGTGGTCTAAAATGAATGATAGAAATTTGTGTCTATAAATCATTTCATTAATTAAGGGTACTAGGGGTTTACATGGCCGGGTTGGTTCGGGTTTTTCAAATATCAAACCAAACCATTTGTGTTGGGTTTTTGAATTTATAAACCAAACCAAATCAATAAAACTCGGGTTTTTCATCCTCGTTTTTTCAAATTTTTAGGTTTTTCCGGTAAAGTATTCATACAAACATTAATTTACTTATACTTCAAGTATTTCTTTAGTCCTATCAAAATACAACTATCTAAGGTGTTTCTTAAGAAAATAACACAAAATATGATATGATTAATGACACTAAAATATCCAACAAAAAAATAATAATGAAACGCGCAAAACAAATATTACAAATTATTAAGTCATAATGATTTAAGAGTACTAAATCATGCTAAAATAAGTTTAATAAGTATTAGTTACATAACTAAATATTAAAGAAAATTGAAATTAGATTATGTATTTGAATTGTCTAAACCAATGTAAAACCAAAGAACAAATATTCAATATTATTGTCATTCTTAGTGTTGAATTGATTTTCTTTTTGCATTAGTATTAATTTGATTTTGATTTAAGCTTTATTATA